TGAAGTAAGCCCGGCCCAAAGAAACATAGGTCCCATGATTTCCCTTATTTGCAATATCTAGTATATGTATGAGTCAAGCAGAAAAGGTCAGATAATGTGACGTTAGGAAAATGAACCCTTAGATATGTATTTTAATGTTTTTTTCTTTCATGCATGTGTTTCTAACGCATTTATAAGATTATTTCTTTATCACTTTGTATGTCCCTCCCCCACAGTATAACCCCTGCTTTCACTATATTTGATGTCAGTATAACTTGTGGAGGAGATGGGGAACATCAAGTTGTTTAAGGATTCAGGTGGACCTGTTGCAACAATGAGAAGTACAAGTTGTCATGTTGAAAACAAGCTTTAAAACGTCGTTGCGGGGGGGGGGAGAAAGGGGGGGAGGATTGGAGGGGGGGAGGCTGGGAAGAGATGTGAAGGGTAAACAGAGTAGGAGGCTGCAATGCTTGAAATGTATGCATTATCCTGCCCATGTAATTGTAACCCCTCTGTACAGTATGTTCACAAATAAAATAAAATAAAACACACAAAAAAAATTCAAAGGAGAAATCCCAGTTTACGTATCAGTGTGGTACCGACTTATGTGTGCATATTACCTCACTGAATGCAAACAGACCTTATGCAGTGTTTCTGCTTTTATTTACTGATTGATTTTTCTGATGTGCTCTAGTCCATATTGCATCATTCTCTTCATTTCTGGCCCATGACTTTTCTCTTACAGGGTTCCAGGCCTGTGTTCTTATATGATGTACACTTAAGCTCTCAGAAGCCATTATTTACATTTTATTATGAGACCAAGGCAGGACCAGTCACAAATCAGGTAGGGGAAGAGAAGGTCAGGTTTCATAGAAATAACCGGTATTCAAAAATTAACCTTGGGGATGTCAGATGGTATCATACCGATGTAAAAAGTACCACTAAGAAAAAGATGAGGGGGCTGGGAATGTGGATTAGTGAAAGAGTGCTTGCCTTGCAGGCAAGAAGCCCTGGATTCGATTCCTCAGTAGCACATGCACAGAAAAGCCAGAATTGGTGCTGTGGCTCATGTAGTAGAGTGTTAGAGGCAGTGCCCAGGCCTTGAGTTGAACCCAAGAACTGGCAAAGAGATAGGTAGGTAGGTAGGTACCTATGTAGGTATGATAGATGAATCTGGTCTTGGATGTCAGGAGGAAAGAAGAGAAAACTTCCCAGTGATGAGGCCTTCTGCAGTGTGCCAGGCCACCAGCATCGCCTTCACTCAACCACAGAGCAGGAAGGCTGTCTCTGTGTGCCACTTCTCAGGCATCCGAGGGCCCCAGAGCCAAGAGAGCAGAGCCAGGTTCTAACTCAGGTGCTTGGAGACACAAGAGAAAGGGCCCTACCTCTCTCCTTGCACTGGGAATTTGCATTAATGTTGTGCAGAACGAAGAAAGAGAATGGACTGGTCGAGGTAGAAGAAGGGTCTTCAAATCTGACAGATTGAGAGTCAAAAACCCACTCCCTAAAACCAGAGAGCAGGGTTTTACTATTCTGTTCCTTCCCTCTCCCCCAATAAACTGGCTCTCTGTTGTTAACCTAAAGATAGTCTGAGGCTTCCTTCACCTGAGGGAGGAAGGTTAATTAGTCATCGTTTGAAAAGGCTGAGAAAAGCCTGACCCTGGTGAAATTGTAACAAATGTTTCAGGTTTCTGAGATTGCTGGCTGTGCCTGGAATAAAGGTAGTGGTTTTGCAGCTCACTTCCCTGTTGAGTGGGTACATTCTGCCTCCTAACCCTAGAAGCCTAGCTCTCTGCATCTATCCTAGCTTTTAAACTGTTTTCTGTCCTTCAAATACAGTGTTGCATTGTAGTTCTTCCTGCTAACAGAGCTAGGACTTGGATCCTGAGAACTTCATTTGAACCCAGGAAGGCCAATGATGTTTCTTTCCTGCTTCTCTGGCTAGAGAAGTCTAAGAACATATAGGGGCAAATAACTTCTCATCATCAATGGAAACACAGGAAAGCTCTTGAAAATCTGACCTTTCAAAAGTGGAAGTTAGGGTGTCCTAGACTTTCCTGCCCTGGCTGGCTTCATCCTGTGATCCTCAGACCTCAGCCTCCTAAGCTAGGGTGACTGGTGTGAGCTACTGGTGCTCTGCTAGGTTCAGAACTGTAATGACATTGACAATACAAGACAACCGCTTATCACAAAGGGCTTGGGGAGTATATTAAGCCTTTCAACATTGGATCTTTCAGAACCCTGTGGGACACAAGATTATAATGTTAGAGTGTGAGAGACTGGGCACATGGATCTATTACAGTTGAACACTGAGCTCTGACTCCAATTCTGGTGTATATCAGCGTTCATTTCCAGAGAATGTTCTCCTAATTAGTAAATAGGAGAAGTACTTTGATTAACCCTCACTTTTTTTCCAGTTGTGTGTCTCGCAATCAAGCCTGGGCACTGTCTGTGAGCCCTTCAGCTCAAGGCGAACACTCTACCACTTGAGCCACAGTGCCACGTGCGGTCTTTTGGTGATTCCTTGAAGAGTATAACAGGCTTTCCAGGCCTAGACTGTCTTTGAACTGTGGTCTTCAGATCTCAGCCTCCTGAGAAACTAGGGTTCCAGGTGTGAGCCACTGGCATCTAGCCTATTGTTGTTCCAGTCCTATGGCTTAAACATAGGGCCTGCGCACTGTCTCTGGGTACTGCACTTCTTTTCCTCAAGCCTAGCGCTCTACCACTTGAGCCACTCCACAGCTTCTGGCTTTTTCTGAGTATGTGGCATTCAAACCATGGCATTCATGCATGCTGAGCGAGCTCTCTATCACTAAGACACATTTCTAACCCCACTCTTACAATTTTATCCCTCAACTTGCCTATCCTCAAGAAAAGGCTTCTGAGTAAAAATCATCTCAAGAAATCCCTACAGGAAGATGTCCATAGATAAATAAGACAAACTCATTTTTGGGAGAGACTCTAAATATGTGAAGATTATGACTAATGCCTCCGTTTAATTATGTATCATGTTTCAACACAAGAAATTATTAATGAAAAATGAGGCAATGTCCTAAATTATTTTGTATAATTTAGGAGATGTACAACATGAAATGAATATGTGTATAATAACACTAAATATACAATAAATGAATCAAATAGAAAATAAATACAGAATCAATAATAAAAATCAATGTATGTGAAAGATTGAAATTGGGGCTATGTCTATTTTATAATATGCTAACTGCTAATTCTGCTTCTGTAAACCTGCTTACGCTAACACTGACCCTTCCCCTCCCAGAAATAAGTAAAAAGTTACGAAGTCCAGATGCAGGCCCAGGGACAAGGTCTGCAAACATAGATAAAGAACAAAAGAATATGTTCTTCTAAATTCCTGTTTAGAAACTCTCAGCAAGGGGCTCAAAATAAAGACCATCTGGCAAGCCCAGCAAACTAGGGAGCCTGTAACTATGTGGACTCCCCTCCAGAGAAGCCTCCCCCCTTAGGAAACCAACTAGTTTTCAACAAATGTAACAAAACTTCCCGTACAGAGCTGAGCCAATCCTGGGGAGCCTGGGGTCTTATGCTAATCCTGTGGTTTTTGTCTTTAAAAGTGCCTGTAACCACTGCTCGGGGCTTCCAGTCTGCCTTGGACAAGGAGCCTGTTTGTGCAAACGCCTAATAAAATCCTCTTGCTTGTTGCATCTGCTGGTTTGGAGTCTTGGTTCTTGGGGTGCCCTCCCGTTGAAGAAAGCATCCCAGTGAGTCTGGGGTCTTTCAGTTGGGGGCTCGTCCGGGATCCAGGCGCCCCCAGACCCCAAATTCCAGGACCGGTAGGAGGTGAGATAGAGCTCTTGTCTTGTGTGTTTGTCACTTTCGTTTTATGTTCTGGGATCCAAATCTGTATTTGGACTAGTGGAAAAAGCAGACGTGCCCAGTACCCTGGTCCAGCCCTGGAGTCCTGCTCCAGGGTCGTCTGGAGGAAGGAGGAGATCCGAGTGTCTCTCTGTTCTGGGGAGGTTAGGCGAGGCCAGCCACTCCCATCTGTAGTTTCCTTCCTCATCTGCACTCACTTGGGCACTGCGCGGCGTTTGTCTAGTCTCGTCTGTTTCTGTTTAGCGTTGATCGTCTTTGTGGTCTGTCTTGTAACCTTTAAAGAAATGGGGCAAAAGCTAACAACCCCCTTAAGCCTTACTCTAGATCACTGGACAGAAGTCAGGACCCGGGCCCACAACCTGTCGCTGGAGGTCCGGAAGAAAAAGTGGATCAGCTTCTGTTCCTCCGAATGGCCCGCCTTCAATGTAGGGTGGCCTAAGGAGGGCTCCTTTAATCTTGGTGTTATTTTACAGGTGAAGGCTCAAGTTTTCCAGCCCGGCCCTCACGGACACGCTGACCAGGTCCCCTACATAATTACTTGGGAAAATCTTGCTCAGGATCCCCCGAAGTGGGTTAAGCCTTTTCTCTCCCCTTCTATCCCCCTCTCGGCCCCTCCACCCTCTCCCACTTCCTTCGTTCCTCTTCCTCCTGCCCCCATCCAGCCTACCTTTCCTCCTCTGCCTGTCCCTCAGCCACCTACTCCCCTCACTCCTCCTCCACCACCCTTATCCCGATCTTCCCTCTACCCCCTAAAGGAGTTGTCAAAACTTAAAACAAAGGACTCCTCCCCCTCCTCTTCAAGTCCCCCCATTCTGCCTGATAATCAGACAGAGACAGACTTGTTATTGTTAGAGCCTCCCCAAATGCCAGACCCTCCACCGCCTTATGCCCAACCTGCTCCGATGGAAGAGCAAAGGGGCCCGCTAGGGGTCTCCCATTCCCCATCTGCTCCTTCTCCAGACTCCACTGAGATGGAGGTGGAGCCCCGGATGCCCTCGTCACCTCCCAGCAGTCATCTGCGCCTCCGCCATGATCCAGGCAGAGAAACGGGGGGGGGGAGGCTGGACGGCCCATGCTTTTCCCCTCCGGACAGTGGCCGGCCAATATCAATATTGGCCCTTTTCTGCTTCGGACTTATATAACTGGAAAACCCATAACCCGTCTTTTTCCCAGGACCCCCAGGCCCTGACGGGTTTAATTGAGTCCATCTTGCTAACCCACCAGCCCACTTGGGACGATTGTCAGCAACTTTTGCAGACTCTCCTCACCACGGAGGAACGGCAGCGAGTGTTCCTAGAGGCTCGCAAGAATGTTCCAGGAAAAGATGGCAGGCCAACGCAGTTGCCAATGAGATCGATGAAGTGTTCCCGTTAACCCGCCCAAATTGGGACTTCAACATCGCAGCTGGTAGGGAGCGACTCCGTGTTTATCGCCAGGTTCTCTTGGCGGGTCTCAAAGGGGCCGGGAGGCGCCCCACCAATTTGGCTAAGGTACGTGCAATAGTGCAGGGTTCTGAGGAAACGCCTGCGGGATTTTTAGAGAGGCTAATGGAAGGATACCGTATGTGTACGCCCTTTGACCCCTCTGCTGCAGACAGACAATCCGATGTCATTATGTCATTTATCGGGCAGTCGGCCCGGACATTCGGACTAAGCTACAACAGTTGGAGGGGCTTCAGGGGTATACTTTACAGGATTTGGTTAAGGAAGCAGAGAAAATTTTTAATAAGAGAGAGACTCAGGAAGAGAAAGAAGAAAGGTTATGTAAGTTGCAGGAGGATAGAGAGGACAAGCGAGACAAGAAACATACCAAAGAGTTAAGTAAGATCTTGGCCACTGTAGTGCGACAGCCAGGAGAGAGAGAGGCTAGGTTAGATAGGAACCTGGGGGACGAAAAGAAACGTCTAGTGAGCCGTGACCAGTGTGCATACTGCAAGGAAATAGGACACTGGGTCAGGAACTGCCCGAAAAAAAGGGGGCAGATGAGAGGACCCCGAAGACCAGCACAAGTATTGTCCTTACAGGATGAAGATTAGGGCAGTCAGGGCCAGGAGCCCCCGCCCTGAGCCCCGGGTAACCCTTCAAGTGGGGGGCCAGCCAGTAACCTTCCTGGTTGATACTGGCGCCCAACATTTGGTCCTAACCCGAGCAGGAGGTCCCCTGAGTTCTAAGACATCCTTGGTGCAGGGGGCCACAGGGGGAAAATTGTACCGATGGACAACTGAGCAAAAAGTACACCTCGGAACGGGGCTAGTCACCCACTCGTTCCTCCTAATTCCAGACTGCCCCTATCCGTTGTTGGGGAGGGACCTCCTCTCAAAGGTAGGGGCCCAGATTCATTTCCAAGGAAAAGGGGCCTCCGTCAGAGGACCCCAAGGACAGCCCCTCCAAGTCCTAACCTTACGCCTGGAGGATGAACACCGGTTACATGAAAGCCCTCAGTCAGCTCAAATCGACCCCCAATGGTTATCAGATTATCCCCAGGCTTGGGTGGAGACTGCAGGAATGGGACTGGCTACAAACCAGCCTCCCGTGGTTATTGGACTTAAAGCTTCAGCTACCCCGGTAATGATCCGCCAGTATCCATTAAGCAGGGAAGCCAAAAATGGAATTAGGCCACATATACAAAGACTGCTCCAATTGGGTATCCTAAAACCATGTCAATCTCCATGGAATACCCCCTTATTGCCCGTCAAAAAGCCTGGGATGGGAGACTACCGTCCAGTACAGGACTTGAGGGAAGTGAATCGGAGGACAGAGGACATACATCCCACGGTGCCTAATCCCTACAACTTCCTAAGTATGCTGCCCCCGAGCCACACATGGTATACAGTGTTAGATTTAAAGGATGCTTTCTTTTGCATAAGGCTAAGCCCTCAGAGTCAACCGATCTTTGCTTTTGAGTGGAGAGATCCAGAATCAGGTTTCTCAGGACAGCTCACATGGACTAGATTGCCACAAGGATTTAAAAACTCCCCGACCCTGTTTGACGAGGCTCTACATCAGGACCTGGCCGACTTCAGAGTCAATCGTCCCCAATTCACTCTTCTACAGTATGTAGATGATCTACTCCTAGCAGCTGAGACTCGAGATGACTGTCTGAAAGGTACTGGGGCCCTTTTAAAGAGACTGGGGGAGTTGGGGTATAGAGCCTCAGCCAAAAAGGCCCAAATCTGTGTCCAACAAGTGACCTATCTAGGCTACAAGCTGGAAGGAGGGCAGAGGTGGCTAACAGAGAGCCGCAAACAAGCCATTACCCAGATCCCTCCGCCCACAAGTGTGCGAGCACTGAGGGAGTTCTTAGGAAGTGCTGGATTCTGTCGCTTGTGGATACCAGGGTTTGCTGAACTGGCAGCCCCTCTGTACCCCCTTACCAAGGCAAATACCCCATTCCGTTGGGAAAGGGAACAACAACAGGCTTTTAATCAAATTAAAAAGGCCTTATTATCAGCTCGGGCCTTGGGCCTCCCAGATGTGACCAAGCCATTCACTTTATATGTGGATGAGCGACAGGGAATTGCGAAAGGAGTTCTGACCCAAAAATTGGGACCCTGGAAAAGACCAGTGGCCTATTTTTCAAAGAAACTGGACAGTGTGGCTTCAGGATGGCCACCATGTCTCCGGATCATTGCAGCTGTGGCCGTGTTGGTAAAAGACTCTGATAAACTAACCTTGGGACAGCCCTTAACGGTGAGGGCCCCCCCATGACATAGAGACAGTTATTCGCCAGCCCCCTGACCGTTGGCTTTCCAACGCCCAGATCACCCATTACCAAACAATGCTGTTAAAGCCCGACCGAATCCGGTTTGGGGCCGCAGTCTCTCTCAACCCAGCAACTCTACTTCCAGACTCAGGCCCTCACCTCTCCATCGAACATGATTGTCATCAAATCCTGGCAGAGGTGCACGGGACCCGAGAGGACTTGACCGACCAGCCCCTACCAGATGCTGAACACACCTGGTATACGGATGGAAGCAGTTTTCTGCATAACGGTGAGCAGAAGGCTGGGGCAGCAGTAGTATATGGGACCACAGTCATCTGGGCCTCAGCCCTAGAGCCTGGGACATCAGCACAGAGGGCCGAACTCATCGCCCTGACACAGGCGTTGACAGAAGCCCGGGGGGAAAAAGTCAACATTTATACAGACAGTTGGTATGCTTTTGCTACCGCACATGTCCATGGAGAGATTTATAGGAGGCGAGGCTTATTAACCTCAGCAGGAAAAGACATTAAAAATAAAAAGGAAATCCTAGACCTCCTACAAGCCCTCTTCCTACCTAAAAAGGTGAGCATCGTCCATTGCCCAGGTCACCAAGTGGGGAGGGACCCTGCAGCAGAAGGGAACAGGATGGCGGATGAAACTGCTAAGGCGGTGGCCTTACAAAACCAAACCCTTGCCTTAGCCACATCATGGGAAAGACAGCCAAATAAACAACCCCTCTTCCAGTATTCAGACCAGGATGTGGAAACAGCCAAAAAGCTAAAGGCAACCTTTAATAATTCGACTGGGACGTGGGAATATGAAAACAGGACTATATTGCCCCGCAAGGATGCGAGGAGGCTGATTACTTACTTACACAGGTGGACCCACTTGGGTTACAAAAAGTTGGAGACTCTTTTACGGAGGGAGGAGCAGTCTCATTACATTCCAGATCTGCCGGGCATAATTAAACAGGTCATAGACTCTTGTGTTTCCTGCGCCAAGGTCAATGCGGGCCGATTCCAAGCGTCCGCTGGAGTCAGAATGAGAGGAGAATGACCTGGCACCAACTGGGAGGTCGATTTCACTGAAATTAAGCCTGGCAAGTATGGAGCTAAGTATCTCCTAGTCTTTGTGGATACCTTCTCCGTCTGGACAGAAGCTTTCCCCACTAAACAAGAGACTGCACAAGTGGTAGTCAAAAAGATTTTGGAAGAGATTTTCCCTCGATTCGGGCTCCCTAAGGTAATAGGGTCAGATAATGGCCCTGCTTTCGTCTCCCAGGTAAGTCAGATGGTGGCCAAGCTGTTGGGGATAGATTGGAAATTACATTGTGCTTATCGCCCCCAGAGTTCAGGACAGGTAGAACGAATGAATAGGACAATTAAAGAGACCCTAACCAAATTAGCCCTAGAAACTGGCACTAAAGACTGGGTCCAACTCCTTCCCATGGCCCTGTTTAGAGCCTGGAATACTCTGGCAAGCCATGGATTAACCCCCAATGAAATCTTGTATGGAGGACCTCCTCCTATAGCAGATTTTCTTAATCCCGCCATTGATTCTTCTACGAATATCCAAAGCCTACAGGCACGGCTGCGAGCTCTACAACTCATCCAGAGACAAGTGTGGAAGCCGCTGGCCGCCGTCTACAGCGTGGGGAGCTCCGCAGTCCCACATCCCTTCCAGATCGGCGACGATGTGTACGTGAGGAGGCACCAGTCCAAGACCCTCGAGCCGCGGTGGAAGGGCCCGTACGTCGTGCTGCTGACCACACCCACTGCGCTAAAGGTAGACGGGATCGCCGCCTGGATCCACGCCTCCCACGTCAAGCGAGCCCCGCCTGGAGACAAGAAGGACCCCTCGGAGCCAGCGAGATGGAAAGTGCAGCGCACTCAAAACCCCCTCAAGATAAGACTCTTAAAAACTGTTTAATATTCTTTGCTGTTGTAACCTTGATAGTAGCAGAGGGACAAAGAGTCCATCCCCTGGCAGGCATAAACCCACACCTTCCCCAAAACCAGACATGGCAAATAGTAGATGAATGCAGGGGTGTGATGTGGTCTACCTTTAATGTAGCCCCCCTCTGGACATGGTGGCCCGACCTGAAACCAACCTTATGCATACCTCTTAGTAGAAGGGTCTCTAGGTCAGGCTTGTCTCCTCCCCACATCCCCTGGGGAGGTTTCCCGATCTATGTCTGTCCGGGCGGACATCAGAATCCTTCCCTCATAAGCAAATGCGGGAGGGAAGAAGATTATTTCTGCAAAACCTGGGGCTGCGAGACCACCGGTGACGGTTCCTGGAATCCCACCTCCTCCTGGGACTACATAATAGTCAAGAGGGCCAGCGAGCAAGGGGAGGGAGGGAGCTGCAAAGACAAAAATTGCCACCAGTGGTGCGTAAGACTTATTGTAAAATTCACTGCTAAAGGAAAAATGCCTAACTTGGGCTGGGGGACTGGGCTCACCTGGGGGATTAGACTGTACAAGCAGGACTATGACAATGGCGGATTCATAATTGTCTGCCTTCGGGTGGAAGGCATAAACCCCCGCCCTATAGGGTCTAACCCCGCCCAGGAAAAAAGGCCCCTTTTCCAAAACCGGCCTCCCAACCCCACCCTCCCGCAGGCCACCCCCGACCCAGGGCTGCCCCAAATGCCTCCCTTATACAATTTAGTGGAAGGAGCTTATTTCACCCTCAATTCCACCAAAACGACCTTACTCAGTCCTGTTGGCTCTGCCTTTCTAAGGCCTCTCCTTATTATGAAGGGACAGCTTATGATGGTACTTACAGCTATTCTGATTCATGCTCCTGGGGGTGCCAGGGCACCAGGTTAACTCTAGCCGAGGTGCCAGGCCAAGGACTGTCTTGCTACACCACCCCCTGAAAAGAGCCAGCTCTGTGCCTGCATAGAAGAGGTTACGGCTATTCCAGGCAAATACCTAGCACCCACAGATGGGGGATGGTGGGCATGTGACACCGGATTAACCCCTTGTGTCTCACCAATGTTGATAAACCAGACTGGTTTCTGTGTCTTAGTACACCTCTACCCCCGAGTAACATACTATGACTCCCGATCCTTTGAAGAACTGGCGGAAGGCCTGGTCCCCCGCAGATTCAAAAGAGAACCCATCAGCATGACGTTAGCTGTCCTCTTGGGATTTGGGACCACCACAGGTATTACGGGAGTAGGAGTAGGGGCGGCCGCATATGCGGAAGGCCAACAAGGCCTAAGACAACTAAAAGCTGCCATAAACCAGGACTTAAGAAATTAACAACTCCCTCACCTCCTTATCAGAGGTAGTGCTTCAAAACCGTAGAGGTTTAGACTTAGTCTTTCTCAGGGATGGTGGGGTGTGTGCAGCCTTAAAAGAAAAATGCTGTTTTTATGCTGATCATACTGGAGTAGCGCGCGACTCCATGGCCGAACTCCAAAAGCGTTTAGACGCGCGAAATTGAGACAAAATGGAACAGAGCAGCTGGTTTGAGAGTTGGTGGTCTAAATCCCCCTGGCTCACCATGCTGCTGTCGGCAGTAGCAGGACCTGTCATTATTCTATTGTTGCTTCTCACCTTTGGTCCTTGCATAATTAGCAAGCTATTGCAGTTCATTCGTGAAAGGCTGTCTGTCATACAGGCCATGGTACTAACTCAACAATACCAAGTATTACAGGCAAGTGACACACCTACAAATGAGATAAGAACCCCCTAGATTTTAAGATTAAAATCAGTCCAAAGACAAGAGGAGGGAATGAAAGATTGAAATTGGGGCTATGTCTATTTTATAATATGCTAACTGCTAATTCTGCTTCTGTAAACCTGCTTACGCTAACACTGACCCTTCCCCTCCCAGAAATAAGTAAAAAGTTACAAAGTCCAGATGCAGGCCAGGGACAAGGTCTGCAAACATAGATAAAGAACAAAAGAATATGTTCTTCTAAAGTCCTGTTTAGAAACTCTCAGCAAGGGGCTCAAAATAAAGACCATCTGGCAAGCCCAGCAAACTAGGGAGCCTGTAACTATGTGGACTCCCCTCCAGAGAAGCCTCCCCCCTTAGGGAACCAACTAGTTTTCAACAAGTGTAACAAAACTTCCCGTACAGAGCTGAGCCAATCCTGGGGAGCCTGGGGTCTTATGCTAATCCTGTGGTTTTTGTCTTTAAAAGTGCCTGTAACCGCTGCTCGGGGCTTCCAGTCTGCCTTGGACAGGAAGCCCGTTTGCGCAAATGCCTAATAAAATCCTCTTGCTTGTTGCATCTGCTGGTTTGGAGTCTTGGTTCTTGGGGTGCCCTCCCGTTGAAGAAAGCATCCCAGTGAGTCTGGGGTCTTTCATATGTAATAGGCATACATAGATAAGTTTATATCATATATTATACATGTATACAAATATTTTTTCCATTGCACAGGCCTTATTCAGTCCCTGAGAACTATAGCCTGAATTTCTTTTCCTCAAGGACAGTGAGCTTTGTCATCATGGTGGAAAAGAGTTACCTGGATGGTGAGATCAAATCCCAGCAATGGTAGAAATACTGGCCCCAGTTCCAAGAAAGTGACTTGATTTTTTTAAATAGAAGCAGTTATATTTATTCAGTTCCATAATGAACATTAAAAAACAAAGCAGTGTATAATTTTGTACAGCCTTTTAGACATGGTTCCCTTACCCAAAAATGCTTCTTTGAGCATTACAATTTTTCTCTTTTTGTACATTTTTTTGGTGCAAAAATGTTGTACAGAGGGTTCCAGTTACAATAGCAAGGTAATGAGTACATTTCCTATTGAGCATTACTGCCTCCTCCTTTGTTTTCCTCATACCATCCCTTCCCTCCCACCTCCACTACTTCATCCCCTGATGAGTTCAGTGACTTAATTTTTTATTTTTGGCTTGGCCTGGGTTTTGAACTCAGGCACTGGCAACTCTGCACCTTCCCTCACATCACTATGGATTTGCCAAGACCCTGAGTTCAAATCCCAGGCTAGGAAAGAAAACTGGCAGAAATTCCAAACCAGGGAGCTTTATTTCTTTTTGAATTTAGTTAAATGATTAAATAATATTTTAATTTATTCTTTTTTTGCCAACCACGGGGCTTGAACTCAGGTCATGGCAACTCTGCCTCAGCTTCCATCACCTTAAGTTGGTGCAGCCTCCAGACCCATAGCCAATCCTGGGATCCTAGGCCCAGAGGGCTAGCAGGAAGAAAAAAAATTGGGACAGCACAAAATGTGGCGAGCTGCAGAGGGTTGGGATTTTAGGGTTTTTTTAGGGTTTTTTTAGTTTTTTTTTTCTTCACGGTGACCATCCTAGGTCTGAATAATACAGCTGCAAAATGGACCTGACCTGCCATTGCTGAAGTCTGGTGGGCTATTAGGGAAGCCATAGGCCGACCTGTCAACATAGGATCCGGGTTCAAATCCCGGTCTTGACACCTACCAATGGCATGAGATCACAAGAGACTGATTGAAAGAGTAGTTTTTGCATCAGTCGAGTTGAAAATTGGATGCAATAATCTTAGGCTGCTGATTGATCTTAATTAATAGTTTATTAATCATGAAAAGAATAATATTCCTTCAATGAAGGTATGATAGATACCTAAGTGTTCGTAGGAACGTAGTAGATGTCATTCAGTCATAGATAGATGGCTCTAGCACTCTTTACCAATATATATTTATTTGTGTACCACTGTCTGCCTATCCATTTATTGCTGTTTTGGCCAAGCCTGGGGTTCGATCTCAGTGCATGGGAAACACTTAACAGTTTCATTGGCTAGAGGATGCTGAGCTCACACTCACCCATTCATGAATTGGGCCTGCTAGGCCCTGAGTTCATATCCCAGCACTGCCAAACCTTTAATTTTGGAGTACAAAGCCAAGTGTGACACATGTTTTCCTTTTCTGGGACAGTCCTGGGTATCAGGCATGATGGAGATGTAAACAATGTAATAAATGGTATAGGTATCATCAGAGACAATACAATGATTCATACGTAAATGAATAAAACAAGAAATAAAATGAATAAGGACACCAAACACGATATGGACTGAAAATCTCTATGGAAGTATAAACCCTAGCTTTAAAATGGATATAAGGAGTCTGTTTTCCAGGACTGAGGCTTGAATTAAGGCCTAGGGAACTGGCTTGACTTTCTTGTCATCAAGGATGTGGAGCTTCCTCTTCCCCCACAGAACAACAGGTTTACCCAGAACTGAGATCAAATCTCAGCACTGACAGAAGATTCATCCTGATGTCAGGAGCCAGTTGTTACTCCTGATTTCCTCTAAAGTGGAAGTCCTGGGTCTCAGCTAGGATTGAGAATGAATGGACAGGCAACTCTAAAACCATGGGAACAGGTTGTCATCCATGTCAGCACAGTTATACCCATCACCATACTCAGTAACATACACAATACCTCCATGAATTAGACACAAATTAAGGAGAAATGCACAGAATGCAAGATGCTGTCTACACATGGATGTAAATATAGATCCTATGTTGAAATTATGAATTTATGACTTCCCTGGACCTACCTGGGACTGGGTCTCAGGTCCTGGGTATGGCCTAGCCCATTAGTGGCTCACAGACTGTACTCAGCTTGATCCATTAACCAACTGTGCCTGCTAGGCCCTGAGTTCACATCCCAGCATGGCCAAAACAATGGTCCTTTTGTGAGAAGCCAATCATTTCACCTCTTTTCCTGCCCTGTGCAAGTCCTGGACCTCAGTAAACATGGAGAATGCTATATAGGCAACTCTATAGCCATGGGAACAGGCTGTCATCAATGTCAGCACACTTATACCTGTCCCCATGCTCAGTAAAATACACAATACCTCCATGAATTAGACACAAAGGAAGGAGAAGGGGTGCACCGAACTCAAGATTCTGTCCTCACATGCATGTCAATATACATCCTATTTTGAAATTATGAATTTATGATGCTCCTGGCCTTCCTGGAGGCTGGGTCTCAGGTCCCGTGTATGGCCTAGCTGCTGACTGGCTCTCGGTCTGGGGAGCTCACCTTAAACCATTACCAATGGGGCCTGCTGGGGCCTGAGTTCATATCCCAGCACTGACCAAAGAATCACCTTGATGTGAGAAGCCATTCAATCCACCTCTTTTTCTGTTCTGTGAAAGTCCTGGGCCTCAGTGAGGGTGCATAATGTTAAGCAGGCAACACTACAGCCATCAAAAAATGTTGTCATCCATGTCAGCACAGTTGTACCTGTCACCATTCTCAGTAAAATGCACAATACCTCCATGAATTAGACACAAATTGCCGGAACCAGCCAGCAACGAAAGGGACTCCTGATTTAGGGGGCGAGGACGGAAAAATAAAGACATAAGACAAAGGATGGGGTGGGGAGGTCTGCAGCTCAAGACTGCAGCACCGTTTATTTTTAACTCTCCTTATTATATACTATTAGAAGTCAAGAGGTAACCTAAGGTCACCATAGTGCAGAAAAGCAAGGAATTTTTTAATAAAAACAAGGGTGCAGAAAGAAACAAGACAAAGTCAACTGATAGAAAGTAAAACAAATTCTACAGACATAGCAAGGCAAACTCAGACACCTGGTGTTTTTCATGAAAGCCAGTTCCTTGTACGTGCCTTCAAGTGAGCACAAGGGTCAAGATGATCTTGGAGCTTTACAGCGAGAAAACACAAACATGTCCTTGACCCCATGTTAAAACCAGATCAAGCCCATGCCAAGCACCTGTTAAAGGATCCTTCCACTTTACTTGAGCAAAAGCTCTTTGCTCTCTTTTTTCCCAAAAACGCTGTGCTGCGGTAAGGCCATTACAATCTAAGTTCAAAAAATTTGGTACAAACAAAGCATGAGAAAGAAAATGAACAGGAGAGAAGGGGTGTAATACCCCACCTTTTAATTTAAAAATTTGATGTTTGAGCAAACCATTATCTCGTTCAACAATTCCTTGACCTTGAGGATTATAGGGAATACCTGTAGTGTGAATAATCTGATAAGATTTACAAAAATTTTGAAAAGCTTGTCCGACATATCCCAGATCATTATCAGTTTTACTATGTTTAGGAAGTCCCATAGTGGCAAAGCAGTGTAGGGAATGAACAATACAATGTTCGCTAGTCTCCCTGGCAAGAGGAGTAGCCATAATAAAATTAGAGTAGGCATATGGTAACATGGACAAAGTAAAGCCATCCAAAAGATGGAATCAGGCAGGAGTTTAGTCTACTTTTTCCACGGTGGAGGTGGTCAGGGTAACGATGTAGATTTTCTCCAGGTGACTGTCAGGCTGTAGCAGCAGCAGCAG